TATAATTTTCGACGTGGGAATATTGCAGTGTGTGCTGATATTAAAGAAATGTTCCATCAAGTGATAATGCAGCCAAGTGACAGAATATCTCAAAGACTTTTGTGGAGAAATTGTAACCCTGACGTGCCGCCTGTTGAATATGAGATGACAGTCATGACTTTTGGAGCCGCCTGCTCACCATGTTCAGCCATATATGTTATGAAGATGAATGCTAAAGAACATACTGACTGCCACCCCAGATCAATAGAATCGATTTGTGAACATCACTACATGGATGACTTTGCAGATAGTTTCGATTCAGTGGATGAAGCTATCGAAATATCAAAGCAAGTTACAAAAATCCATGAAAATGGTGGATTCGAACTTAGAGGATTTCTTTCAAATTCAAATGAAGTCATGCTGGCACTTGATGGTTTGTCGTCGTCTAAAGCTATTGCCCCTATTGAATCGGGAGAAAAGGTACTAGGTCTGTATTGGGACCCAGGGTCAGATACATTTATGTTTAACCTGAAATTTAGCAAAGTCGATCCTGACATTATTTCTGGACAGAAAATACCAACTAAACGTCAAGTATTGAGCATTATTATGTCAATGTTTCATCCTCTTGGATTTTTGAGCAATTTTATGATCGGAGGAAAGTTAATTCTACGTAATATTTGGAGAACTGACTGTGGATGGGATGAAGAGATTCCAAAGAACATCGATACAGTGTGGCAAAATAGGAGAAAGAAACTTATTAACATTAAAGAATTTCGTCTACATCGATTTTACTTCCTCTATGGGAAGCCAAAAAAGTTGGAGTTGCATATTTTTGTCGATGTGATAAGTGAACATGTTTTTATAATAAAAGAGAATAGCGGGGCTACTTAGTGTAGATGAGAGGGATTTGTTAAACTGGGATCTTCTTAATACAGTCCATATGAAATAAGATAAGAAAATGTGGTGAGCAGACCTTTGAGTTAGAAATAAATAATACAGAATTTTCAATTGCTGCATGTGTTATGGTGGAGTTAGATTATGGGATGTAATCTTTACTCAGACTGATAAACAAGTGCAGCATGTTTGCTTGCCACATGTGAGATAGCTATGCGTGTGTATGACCTCCCCCTAAGGTTTATGGTGGCATGGTGCATATGCATGTGTACGGTTGGTATCTATCTCTCTCTCTCATTTACACCTAATTATAATTTAGGTTAAGTCATATTATCACAACTAGTTCTTAAGAAATGTTTTTAAGAAATAAATTCAGTGTCTTACAAACGCTCAAATGGTAAAGACGTTGTTGTTGTTGTTGTTGTAGCAGTAGTACATGTGTGTGTTTGTGTTCTGCTAATCTGGTTCCAGCTCCAGGTTTAGAAATTCGGCTACTTTAACGGGCGGTAGCCAGAGATCCTCTGGAGTGAGTTGGGTAGGTTTGGCTGAGCAATTAAAAAGGTGTAGCGTATTGTGCGGGCCTGTATCGCACGCCGCAGGCGTCACGCACATCTTCATCAATTCGTGCCCAATACGAATTGAGGCGACTACACCATCCTGAACGTAATTGCGCCAAAACTACCCTGGTTTGTCTAGGCAGCTGACTTTCTTCGGCTGCAATGGATGGGGGGTGGACTCCGAGGACGGCATTCACTTTATAACTGCTAATAGCATCCGCGACTGCATCGGTGTGAATGCCACTCAGACCTGCCTGATAGGCTTCTTGATCTAGAGGCTCTCTCTTGTAGCGCTGGACCTCCCTCTCTAGATCATGTATGTCCTTCCTGACACGCCTGGGTGAGGGAGAGTTATCCACCATATGATGGTTGGGATGACTCTCACGGTAACACCCAAGCAGGTACTGCAACGAAAGCATATGATTATGCTGACGTAAGGGAAGGACTTTCGCCTCCTCATGTAGATGGTCCACTGGTGTCATGAGGAGGCACCCTGTCGCAGTTCTCAGGGCAGCGTTCTGGCAGGTCTGGATATTCTTCCACTGCGTAGCACTAGTATTCGCAGACCACACTGGAGCCGCATAGTTGACCACAGACCGACCTATCGCGTTATAAGAGGTCAACAAGGTTTCTTTGTCCGCACCCCAAGAGCTGCCGGCTAGCGCCTTGAGGACCTTGTTCCTACTTTTCATCTTGTCGCAGATAGCTGTGGCTTGCGCGGACGACTTGAACATGCTGTCGAACGTTACCCCAAGAATCTTGGTCGGTATTAGATTCCCCTCGACCTGAACATTCAGCTGTGTTCTCATCTCCGCAGACCATGTGGTAAAGAGTGTGGCCGTTGATTTCGTGGCGGATATTTTCATATTCCTCGCGTGGAAGTATGCGGCAAGCTCCGCGAGATAGGGGTTCAACCTTTCGCATATGTCATCGACCACTGGACCCGACGCCATGATCGTACAATCATCCGCATGCGTTACGATCTCAATGCCGTCTGTAGGGCGAGGAATTCCGGAAAGGTAGAGGTTAAACAATTCCGGAGATATCACCCCGCCTTGGGGAACTCCCTGTTTCATTCTACGGGCTTTGGACTTCTTGTTCCGGAGTTCCACGTACGACTGGCGTCCACACATATAGTTGATTATCCAACGTTTCAAACTTGGCCGGAGGGTAGTTCTCTGTACGTCCTCAAACAGTGTGGCATGATTGACCGTATCAAATGCCTTTGATAGGTCAAGGGCTACCAACACTGTTCTGTCACACGGCCTGTTCTGGTTCAGTCCTCTACTAATATGTGTGGAAATGGCGTGTAATGCTGTTGTGGTACTATGTTGTGGACTGAATCCATGCTGGTGGTTGGCAACTGTATAGCTTCCTCTAATGCTGGGGAGGAGTAAAGCCTCAAGAGTCTTTGCTACTGGCGACAAAAGCGAAATCGGCCTGTACGATTCGCCTTCACTGGCATCCTTGCCTGGCTTCAGCAGCGGGACCACCCGGCCCATTTTCCAGGTTTCGGGCACTATGTGGGTGGCTAGCGACAAATTGAGAACTTTCGTTAAGTACTCGACTCCCGGCGTATCCAGCTGCTTTAACATTACCATTGAGATTCCGTCCGGGCCCAACGCTTTGGATGACTTAGCGTTACGGATGACATTTGCAACATCACCCATCGTAAATTGTGGTGGTTCCTCCTCGGCGGGAAGAGATTTGATACGACGTAGTACTCTTCGCTTCGCCCTATCGCTCTCGGGGTGCTCGACAAATTGTCGGTTAAAATATTCCGCGCACCTCTTCGGATCAGTCACCGTTACGTCGTTAAAAGTGACTGAGGTCCTATCATCCTTTTTTCCAGGGTTCGAGAGCGACTTAACCGTTACCCACAGCTTACTCATATCGGTTCCAATGTTGCAGCACTTCAGACGGTCTAGCCACTTTTTCCTCTTATGCTCCTGTACCAACCGGTTGACTTCCACTGTCAAATCACTGATTCTAGGATCTTGGGTCTTTTAATTGATCCCGGTTTACACGCATATTTGGCTGGCTTAAGTCATCGGCTGGCTTCTTCGTAGATGAACAAAGGAGTTTTAGGTTGACCTAGTTCGATTTTGGCCCTAGGCTCCTTTGTTCATTTCCGAAGAAGCCAGCCGATGACTTAAGCCAGCCAAAAAAGCGCTTTATGTATTCCCAGCTTAACCCTGTGGAGTGATTCAAAGACTGTTTTAAAATGGATTTCAAGCAGTCATAGAAATTATAAGCCCTATGTTGCCCATAGGATAGCGGAAGTTTTGGAATCTACAAAAATTAATAATTGGAAGTGGGTACCAACAAAAGACAACGTAGCCGATGATGCCACAAAATATTATAATCATATTGATTTTTCGATTTCGTCAAGATGGTTAAGTGGACCATCGTTTCTGAAAAGATCGGAAGAAGAATGGCCAAATTATGGCCCGATTTGTCATCATCCTGATGAAGGTGATGAAGAAAAAATTCGACCTAAGGTGTCTCTTTTAATTTTAAAAAATAGTTTTTTTAATTTTGAGAGATTTTCATCGTATCTACGTTTAAAAAAAATGGTAGGACAAATAATTCGTTTTACTGATATTTGCCGCAAAAAAGTCGGCGCTCGAGATTTACCCGATTTAAATGCATATTATTTGAATGAAGCTGATGCAGTATTATGCCGTCAAGTTCAAAGAGAATCATTTGCTGAAGACATCAGAAATATTAAAAGGGGATAGCCAGTCTCAAAAGAAAATAAATTGAAAAATTTAACTCCTTATATCGACGAAAATGGATTATTGAGAGTTTATGGGAGAATCGATGCAGCCAGCTCTCTTCCATATAGTATGAAACGACCGATTATATTGCCCAAGAATCACTATTTTACCAAACTTGTTGTGATTTATCATCATTGCCAGATGAAGCATCAAAATCATGAAGCCGTTATATGTGAGATAAGGAAAAAATTTTGGACTCCACAAATACGACAAGTTTTAAGGAAAATTGTAGCTAGTTGTTTTACTTGCCGAAAAAACAACGCCAAGCCTGTGCCGCCGATTATGGGTTCACTGCCTATTGATCGATTGGAGCCTTACATCAGACCTTTCAAGTATACTGGCCTTGATTATTTCGGGCCTATAAATGTCAAGATTGGAAGAAGAACTGAAAAGAGATGGATAGCTTTATTTACTTGCCTGACAATCCGCGCTATACATTTAGAAATAGCTCATGATTTGTCGACGGATTCCTGTATAATTGCAATTAGAAACTTTATAAATCGTCGCGGTGTTACTGTAAGATTCAGATCCGACAATGGGACGAACTTCATTGGGGCCAACGAAGAGTTCAAACGATTTGATGACGTTTTTGAGGCTGAAAGGATTCAACATGAATTAAGTGAAAAAGGCATTGAGTGGATATTTAATTGCCCAGCAAACCCTTCGGAAGGCGGTGTATGGGAAAGGTTGGTACGAAGTGTTAAAAGAGTTTTACGACTAACCATGAAGGACACCTGTCCAAAGGAACATGTTTTGCATTCCTTAATAATTGAAGCAGAAAATATATTAAACTCTAGGCCATTGACTCATGTGCCCATAAGCCCTCATGAGGAGGAGCCTCTAACTCCAAACCATTTTTTGCTTGGAACAGACAACATTCCTCAGACACCTGCAGCCAATGTTCCAGATGAACAAATCTTCCGCCTGAAAAAGCAGTGACGAGTTGTTAGGAGTTTGCGAGACAGATTCTGGAAGCGATGGGTTGTTGAATATTTGCCAACATTAACCAGGCGAGTAAAGTGGTGTGAACGAACGAAGCCAATAGAAGTAGGAGATGTTGTGTTTGTTTGCGATCCTAATCTTCCACGTAATCAATGGCGGCGAGGAATGGTCACTCATCTACATACTGGGACAGATGGTGTTGTTCGTCGAGCTGATGTCAAAACCTCCACAGGAGTTCTCCAACGAGCTGTTTCAAAGTTAGCCGTCCTGGACTTGGAAGATGGTGAAGCTGACGGCTCCACGGGGGCGGGGGTTTTCCAGAACGGCACCTTATGAGTGTTTATTTATCATGTTTCTGTTGAAATGTTGTAATGTTGACAGTTATCACAGTTTCCTCTATTCTCTCTTTTGACATTTCCGAATAGGGCTTTTGATAATTGCAATGCCATTATTCGGGGTTATTTGTCTTTGGCAGTCAAAAGGAGAAGTCGAAAAACTGCGAAATAAACGCGCGCTACTGTGTTTTAAATAAAATTGTTTTCTTTTGCGTTAACCGCAAGGCTCCTTCTTTGACATTAATCCAGAACAGTATCCTCCGGAAAAATTGGCATTATGTTCCTACACAATGTTATGCCTCTCTTTTCTGTTTTTTAAGATACTCTGACTGAAAATGTTTGGAGCAGATGTATTTGTTTTCGGTATTTGTTATCCCATATTTTCTCTAAAAATAAACTTCCATGGAACTATACTATGGAAGCTGACACCCTCCATTGGGTGTTTGTGCCACGTGACGGTATGCAGCAATACTTCTTTCTTGGCATCTAGAAAAAAATATTTCGCATAAGTACACATATATAATGCAAACCACACACGATACAACCTGGAGGATTGTCAAGTTTTATTCTTCGGCCACAAACGATACAACTTCGTATACAACCTCTTTGTACGACTTCACTTTTCGAAGATTTCATTTGAGTTAAGATGACACCGGGTACAATTTCGTTTTATATATATTTTTAATTTATTTTATATTTTCATTGAAATCACACATTTGATTGGAATTTGTTGTTGTTGAGATGTGCGAAACAATGGTGTTGCCTCTTTGAAAATAACAACAAAATGAAATTGTATACGACATGCCCACACACATTACAATCGGTTGGTACAACATGCCAAATATCAAAAAAGTTTGATTTTTTGTACAACCGGGCCACAAACGATACAATCTTGAATACAACCTCTCCAAGTTGTACAACCAGTTGCTTCGTGTGTGGCTTGCATAAGGAAAACAACTATTCAGAATGTACCATGGTAGAAGAATATAGGTAGACGCATCGACACAGCTGCTGGGACAATGAACTGTCAAACCAATTTTGGAATTGAAAATGTTGAATGAAAAATTATTTAAATTTGTAAAAATTGTTTAAATACACGAATTATAATAAGCTCCAAATGACGTTGTATAAGAAAACATTTAAAAATCTACTTATATTTGAAAAAAACATTTACATTTTTTTGACATATCAATGCTCCCAAGCTTTGATGCATCTACCTGTATTCTTCTGCCATGGAATGTACACTACTCACTACTACTTAGGTTATACAATTATGAAACATGTTAGACCCACTGTACAAATAAGGAGTTAGAAGAGTTTTCATTTTTAAAAGCAATAAGTACCTAAACAAAATAAGCATTATTGTACAATGTTCTAACCATTCATGGTAATATTAAATTTGAAAATTTTAAACTATGCATTTTATGTGTGGCCGAGATCAAATAAGATCAAACGACGGTCGAATTAATGCGTGTTTACACTCCTATCTAACACCTGACGCTTGTCATCGAGTTTTAAACACGTATTTATTTGAAAGTTAGCGAAATACGACGAGCGTCAACATTTACTTTACTGATTTTTCTTTTTTTATATGCTGGAAATAAGATCAAATAATGATATATAAAATTGTAATAACGCTAAAAATGGTTGTTAGTTCCCTTAGAGATATGAAGCTGGCGCATTTGCAAATACGGATGCACAAAACATAGTACTATATTGGAGAAGGTGAATATTTTTGTACATAACGTCGTATACATGGTAGAAGAATATAGGTAGACGCATTGACACAGCTGCTGGGACAATGAACTGCCAAACCAATTTTGGAATTGAAAATGTTGAATGAAAAATTATTTAAATTTGCAAAAATTGTTGAAAAACGCGAATTATAATAACCTGATAGAACATTTAAAAATTTATGACATATCCAAGCGTTGATGTATCTACCTGTATTCTTTACCATGGTCGTGTATTGGTCTACTAAAAGCTACTTATTCTTAGAATTTGTGGTTGATTACGTTTGCTTTGTTCCAGAACTATTTTTTTTTTCGATATCATAAAGGAGAAATCGGTTATCATAGTAAAAAGTTTTACATACTTGCATGGCTCAATAAGAAAGGTTGCTCAACTTCAAAGAAACTAGAAAAATGCCTGTCTTTTCAGGATTCTTATAGTGTCAAATAGACTTTGGTATATGCAACAGTTGGTTCGTTTATTTTTATTTTTTTTAACAGAATTCTTATATTGACAAAAACTAGTACACCAATTAACCCGTTCATACGGCACGATTCCTAATTCATAGTAAAATAATTCCTTTTTTTGAAAAATGTTGTTTGTTGAATTTAATGGAATTTTACACGAAAATACATGAAATTCTCACTAATATGAATAGAAGAAATTATTGTTTTTCTCCCAAAAATTCATTATATCATTAATTTTACAATTTTTGTTCGTGTTTTCAAATTTTTGTGTAAATATTGACATTTTGGACATGTTTTAGTATTTTTCTATTTTTAAATTCTGCTGGAGAGACACTTGTCAAACATTTTTTCTGCCGATACAAACATTTTGAAAATATTGCATCATTAAATTTTTCAATTGTTAATTTTTAAATGTAATTTGTTTGTTTGTTTTTTTGATATATCTAATTGTTAGGGATAGCACACATTCAATCTTAAGCTGGAGACACATAAAGAGCATATTTGGCTGGCTTAAGTCATCGGCTGGCTTCTTCGTAGATGAACAAAGGAGCCTAGGGCCAAAATCGAACTAAGTCAACCTAAAACTCATTTGTTCATCTACGAAGAAGCCAGCAGATGACTTAAGCCAGCCAAATATGCTCTTTATGTGTCTCCAGCTTTAGTTCTAAGAGTGATTTGAATGGAACGAAGCACAACATTTTTTTGTTCCCTCAGCAAATTTTGTGTGGGGAATTAAGTAGATATTTCTTAAATAATGGTCGCACTTCCAACAACTCAAAAACAATTTTGTTTTCTCACGTCACAAATGAGAATAAGGGTGTAGGTACATAAGAAGCTTGAAGTCATGGCTAGGCATACTTTGTGACATTTCTTAAAGGGATTACAAAGCCGCACTTAAATCCTGCTGTCGTTTTTCATTATAATTTGACATTAATATGCCTAGCCATGACTTCAAGCTTTTTATGTACTTGCACCTTAATCTTGATCTCTCCACCGCACATACGTTAAAATCAAACGCCATGATTTTGCTTCATGCATTGTATGTGTGACGCATACTTACAAATTTTCACTAACGCTCATATTACAAGAATATAGGTAGATGCATCAACGCTTGGGAACATTGATATGTCAAAAATTTTGAAATGTTTTGACAAAAATAAATATATTTTTCTAAGTTTTCTTATACGACTTAAATCGGAGGTTGTAATGATATGTATTTTTTAAAAATTTTTACAAATTTCAATAATTTCTCATTCATTATTTTCAATTCCAAAATTGTTTTGACAGTTCATTGCACCAGCAGCAGTGTCGATGGGACTACCTGTATTCTTCTAACATGCTAACGCATGCCATGCAGTTTGTTCGTTTACGGGGTACCATGGTAGAAAAATACAGGTAGATGCAACAACGCTTGGGAACATTGATATGTTTTGTGAACTCAAAAATATTTTATCGTGATCAGGCTTGAATTTTCTTGGTATATCTGAAACTTGGCTGAAATCTGATATTCCAACTAGTGCAATAAATGTACCTTGTTATAAATTTGTGAGGAATGACCGTCGATACTCTAGAGGTGGTGGTGTTGGTATATATATTTCTAGTGATATTTCTCATAAAGTTGTTTTCAGATTATCTGTGGTAGGTAAATGCGAATCGCTTTTTATTGAGGTTATGTCTGGCGATGAAAAGGTTCTGTTTGGTGTTGTGTATCTTCCTCCTCCAGGTGATATTAATGTTTTTGAAGATATTCATAGTGATTTATTTTTAGAGTATTCAAAAATTGTTATAGTGGGTGATTTTAATACTAATATGTTTGATCCGCATAAATCTATGTCTGTCCGCTCAGTCTGCTTCCGATTAAACTTGTCAGTTTTTCATAATTCCAAACCTACTCACTATGATGTTACACATTGTGCGTCTTCTCTGCTTGATTTTATGCTGATAAATAATTGTGCTATGGTACATCTGTCTGATCAGGCAATATGTCCATCGATATCTGACCATTCACTTATTTTTGCATCGTTAAATATTGGTGTTAATACATTTTGTGATTTTGTTGAGTATCGAGATTACTCTTGTGTTGACTGGCCGGGTTTTTTTTTTCTTATCTATCAGCCTTTAATATTGATATGATGAATGTTGTGGATGTTGATGCTAAATGTTCTCAAATTTCAAATCTTTTGTTGGGGTTGTTTGATTATGTTCCTTTGGTGCATAGAAAAATGCGATCTGATGATAATTGGATTAGCTCAAATCGCATTTCACTTGCTCGATCACTTCGTGATTTGGCTTTTAAGGCTTACCTTGATAATAAAAGCAATGATAATTGGAAAATTTTTTGTCGTTATCGTAATAGAGCGAAGTTAGTTATTCGCCGTGAGCGTAGAAAGTATTACTCTAAGAAATTTAATACGTTGGGTTCAACTGCTATTTGGCTTTTTTTTAGGGCTTCGGGTTGTATTGGTGATGATGATGTATCTCTTGACATTGATGTTGATGATCTGAACTATTTTTTTCAATATAGGAACTCACATATGCCTAATATTGATGTGCAATTGTCTAACGCACGCAGTGATGGATTTTCTTTTAGTTGTGTTCGTATGGAAGAAATTATTATTGCACTAAACCGAATAAAGTCTAAATCTGTCGGAGTTGATGGAATACCTGTGGATTTTTTGAAATTAATCTTTCCATATGTTAGTGATATTATTTTGGATTTGGTCAATTCTGTTTTGATGTCGTCTGTGTTTCCTTGCTTGTGGAAGCAAGCTCGTGTCGTTCCAATTCCAAAGGGGAATGTTGTTCGTGGCCCTGATGATCTCAGGCCTATATCAATTCTCCCTGTGATGGCTAAGGTGTGTGAGCATGTTATGAGGGACCAAATACTTGCTCATATTGCAGGCAAGTTATATAATGGTCAATTTGCTTTCCGTAGGAATCATAATACCACAAGTTTAGTTCTTTACTTAACTGAGTTAGTGAGATCTAACACGAACCTTAAAAAGTATACTGTAATTGTTTCATTGGATTTAACAAGGGAATTTGATTCTCTTTCTCATCAAATATTACTCAGTAAACTGATGTACGAGTTCGATTTTTCTGAGACAGCTTGTAATCTTATTTCATCATATTTGTCTGGTAGATCCCAATTTGTTATTTACAATGGCAGATCCTCAAATGTGGCATTGCTTTCGTGTGGTGTTCCGCAGGGCTCCGTATTAGGTCCTTTGTTTTTCATTTTATATGTCAATAACCTCTCTGGATGATGTGTTTCTCGTTTTTACCAATTCTTATATTAATCCTATAGTTTTTGAAAGTGAAATTAATAATTGTCTTGTTCATGTTGGACAGTGGTGTTTTGAACATTGTCTGGTATTGAATCCGTCAAAGACAAAGGCTATTAAGTTTGGCAGTAATGCATATAATCTAAATATTGCTCTCGATGGTAATCTAATTAGTTTTGTAAGCT